TGACTTTGCTATGACAATCTGGCGCTTTTGAATCAGCGACTGTAAGTATGTTTAAGTATTTGCTATTGACTGTTCAAATGCAGAGTGTGTGTGTGTGTGTGTGTGTGTGTGTGCGTGTGCGTGCGCGCGCCTGTGTGAGAGAGAGAGAGAGAGAGAGAGCGTCACATCAAAGTGGAGTCAGCTGTCTTAACCGTGGCTTGTGTACTGCAAACACATACCAGCTTCATCACTGTGTCTGTCACGTGACTCTGTTCCCCTTTCGGGCTCTGTCTTTACATTTATTTTGAAAGATGAAGCTCGCGATTATGGTAAGGGTCGTTACATTTCCGACGAGTGCTTGCGGTGTTCGGCCAATCACAATGCACTGGGTCAGCTGGCCAATCAGAGCAGACTGCGCTTGTCGGAAGGAGGGACTTTGTAGAAAACTAAGCGTTTGAGAGAGGCGGGGCATAGAGGACCTACAATAATGTACAGTATTTGAAAAATAATGTGTTTTTTGAACATTAAAGCATGTCAACATATTCTGTTACACCAAATACACAAAATAATGATCTTTAAAAAAGCATCATATGACCCCTTTAAAACTACAAGAACAACTTGTGGCAGAAATGGTCTAATGTTTTCGAGGGGTTTTAAATGCTTCACACAACTTTTGCCAGCACTTCATAGCTTTAAGTATTACCGAATTTGAAAGTTATTTTTAATGTGATATTATTTGTTCATCCTTCATAGGTTGCCCCCATTTATAAAACTAAAAGTTGCATAATGTAGGAAAGCAAACACTTATTTAAAAATAAAAAATACATTAAGTTATCACTGGGTGCGGAGAAGTAGGCTTATTAGCCATTTCCACTCCCTAATATATATTTTTTTGTATTTATTATATTATATTTAGACATTATGAATGGCAGTAATAAAAGTTAATTTTATCTGCATCTCAACTACCCAGACAGCACAAGTACATCTGTAAGACGTCTGCTAAAGATCTGGGAAACATGTGCTGTGTAATCTGATAAACGGCTCAGAAGCACTTTTACATGCATTCTAATAAATGTCTATTTGGCATCTGACAGGAAACGTCTTAGAGACTTATTGCAGATGAGCAAACACTCTAAAAAAATACATCTTGCATATGTAAATGCAGACATCAAATAGACATCTCCGAGATGTACATGTGTGATTAGGGTGAGTGCTTTGCTGTCAGGTGCTGGTGCCACCTTCTAACTTAACGGCACTGGTGCTGGTGTCTTCAAATGTTAGTCTGGAGCCCTACAATGGTTCTCGAAGTCAAGTCATAACAATGTTAGAAGAATGTTGTCTGTGGTATATTTTCACAGCAAAACAATAAGAAATGCCGCAAATGTCACCGCAAATTTTGAGAAAAGCCGCAAAAATCAGAAAAAAGTCCCACGAAATCCTGAAGGGACTGTATAATATCATTATCAACCCATTTTTGAAAAAAAAAAACAAAAACAAAGTTTTATGTTTAAATGTTATATACCTGTTATTCCAAATTATACATTTGTTTGGAGAAAAATTATGTTTATAGATAAGCAACCAAGAGAGAAGCACCTGCCTGTGAAAATTACTTAGTCTAACTGGAATCTTACTAATTTCAAAATTGCATTGCAACAGAAAAGCAAACCAACTGTAATGAGGGTGAGGCGGAAGCCGAGGAAGAATCCATATGCAGATGTTTATTGAAGCAGTCCAACGAAACCAAACTCAGGGTCAGTAAAAACA